AATTGTAAATTTAAAATTCCCATGTTATTCTTATGGAGAATAAGTAAACTGTTGTAGTTTGCTTGTTTATGAACATATTTTGATCAAATTTGGAAAATGTTTTTATTTCTTAGTAACTATTAACATTTTACAAAAAAAACAAACTGTTTTACCCTCCCTGATGCAGCAAACCTAAGTACTTGTTAAAACTAATTCTATTTAAATCGGGAATAAATGTTATATTTTTAAGTAGACATTTCAGTGTAAATCCAATCAGTCAAATGGAAATTCGCTTAGTCTGCAGGTTTGCTGCGGCGGGGGTATTTACTTTCTCCCCCTATACCATAGTATATGGAGAAAGTACTGTATTGTTTTCGTAAAAATATTCAAGTTTAAGTTTTGAGTGGATATATTCGTTTTGGGTCCCCTGGACCCAAAAAAGTGGTTTTTCGAAGTGATGTCTGTGTGTGTGTGTGTGTGTGTGTGTGTGTGTGTGTGTGTGTGTGTGTGTGTGTCTGGGTGTGTCTGGATGTGTACAGAGCTAGAGACTACACCTACACCTGTGGTCCGATTTCGATTAAATTTGGTATGTAGGTTCTAATCCATGGTATCTCCAGGAATTTTTTTCGTTTTTTCGAAATTTTTATTTTTAATGGGGATTTTCCCATAAAAAAAACGGAAAAATAGGATTTTCTCAAAAATGGCCCAAACGATTTTGATAAAAATTTAGTATGTTGTAGCCCTTTAAATTCTGAATAAAATGGTACAAATCCCATTTCTGTAAAAATTACGGTTCAAAAGTTATGGTGAAATATGTTATTTTCCCATAAAAAAAACCCCATAAAATAACGAAAAATAGGATTTTAGATAAAAATCCGGTTTTGATTTAACATAGTATGTTATGGTCCTTACAATTTTGACAGTTTTTTTTTATTTTTTTTTAATTTTTTTTAATGGGGATTTTCCCATAAAACCCCATAAAATAACGGAAAAATGGGATTTTCCCAAAAATGGCCAGAACGATTTTTATAAAAATGTAGTATGTTATATTCCTTTATATTCTGAACAACATGGTACAAATCCCATTTCTGTATAAATTACGGTTCAAAAGTTATTGTAAATTTTGTCATTTTTCCATAAAATAACAGAAAAATTGGATTTTCTCAAAAATGGCCCGAACGATTTTGATAAAAATTTAGTATGTTGTAGCCCTTTAAGTTCTGAATAAAATTGTACAAATCCCATTTCCGTACATTTACTCTCACTGCTTACACATGATAAAGGTTGTTGACAAACTTATGGGAGAAAGTATGTGTCAGAATGCTGATACCGTTTATTTATATACTAGCTGTACCCGCGGGCTTCGCCCCGTTTAACTTCATAAGTATTCGCATGGCTCATTCACGTCCTGGTTGAAGTTCGTTCGCTACGCTCACTCACCTTTAGGTTGGAGCTCGTTCGCTACGCTAACTCGCCTCCAGGTTGAAGTTCGTTCGCTACGCTCACTCACCTTTTGGTTGGAAATTAGCTGTTGTCATAAATAAAAAAAAAAATAGTGCTGCACCCTGTTGGTAATCCTTGTAACTTTTATGCTATTGAACATCATAGAACAGAACCAACAACTTGTTTAATTGAAACAGCTGTTAAGATTCATTAATTACTTTTAAATATGAAAAATCATAAGATTAATATGGGGAACTACAGAGCCACTGGGGCGGAGCCCGAAAGGGTTTTTGAGATAAGAATATGCTTTAATGTTAATCGGGAATGTGAGCTATCATCATGCCAAATTTCAGCCCAATCCGTCCAGTAGTGTGCGTGATTGAGCAACACACACACACACAAACATACACACAAACATACACACAAACTCACAAACTTTCAGAGATTTATAATATTAGTAAGATCTTATTTGCTCGAAAGCAGACTTATTTTATATGCAGCCTCGTCGTGCACTAATTTATTTTACGACTAGCTGTGTGTCCGTTCTACGTACGGGAATCTTGGAGCAAGTTGAAACCTTCTTATAATATAAGAATTCAGAACAGGAGTTGGTTTATAAAACTTAGTACCGTACCTATGAATTTCTCCAGATATGCTGGCAAAACTATTACTGTATAGAAATACAAGACCTTCGCAAATACAATATATCTGACAGTTTCAAGCAAAAACGAATGCTTCGCAATTAAATGTCACCCGATCGTGTTAGTCCATATTTTAAATCTAATGATAAAAGGATTTGCTTTATAGATCTATGAGGCATAGCCCTGAGGTAGGCCTGTTTTAATTGAGTTACGTTTCACACTGGTTAAAAGTAGTTAAAATACTACCTCCTCTACCTCACTACCGCACACTTTATTCGGGTTGAAAATTTCATTAACAAAGGTGCTCTGGTCTTTTCCACGAAACACTGAGAAATAAGGACATTAATGCGTTACCAACGGACATAACACACGAATACATAATTGAATTAGGGGATTTGCTACGCTTTGGCCAAAGCAAATTACAAAAAAATAATTATTTGAAAGTTTTGATAGTGTCATCAAATTTTATGATAACCGTATTTAGGCCTAATCAATCTGTAAACTTGGTGTCAATCCGTTGGCAAATGTATAAATATTGGCCTCTAGCTAATAAACTGAAAGGACTACCATACGACCATATGCAAATAGCATGGCAACAATATTCCACCAGTTCAAATTAATTAAGGTTAACAGACATTAAAAACAAAACAATAAGATGGAAATTAGAATCTCTTTTAAAGGGGTCGCTTTTAATGGGTTTCCCGTTGGAATAAATAAATAAAGCTGTGTTAATGTCCATAGTAGGTCTATCTAAATTATTAAAGTGAAATTTGCAATGAAAAAAGCTCATACGAGTATACAGTTAACTATATTGATAGTCATAGCCGTTGTGGTTATATTACAGTATTCATATTTTACCAAATTGAGGAATAATTTAGTTACATATTTATAGTATTTATTATTTATAACCTTTTTAACAGCGACGTGCGCTCAAGGTCAGGTAGCTTCAGTGCTGTCGACAGCATGGTTTCGCGCTAGATCCCACATGCCACCTTCAATTCGCCCATGCGGCAACCCCGATACACAGCTGTATTGGCTCGGAAAGCTCTACATCAATGAGATAATTAATATTTTAACTGGAGTCACTCTCTGGTTAAACTAAACATATAAGAAAAACGTGCCATATTTTCTAAAAAAAGGCCGACATATTCCTTAGACACAGCTGTTAATTAATAGCCCATACAGCTAATGGCAACTGAGGGACCGACAGTTTATAGTGGAATCCGAACCATATTTTTGCTTTGGTACATACGAATCGGTCTAATTTTCAGGATAGTACTGCGGATATAGTCGTAGTACTCACTCGTGCGGACATGAATCCACACCAGGGAGTATGGCATCAACAGTGTATGCCTATAAATATCCACAATTCGTAACCTCCTAGTAGCGTTAGTAATGTCAATGTACTGTGGGATTATACACTGAGACAGTTTCACCATAGATAAAACATACTCGGTTTCACAACCAACACAAGTAGACTTCTCATCCCATTGTAAATTTTGAAGCACGTTTTTCGTATCTAGTTCATGTACGTGACACAAAGGCGCTAGTGTCGATGAAACTTTGTTTCCATTATTTTAGGGTTAATTTCTTGATTTGTGCTTTACTGTTTGGTTAAATAACTAGGGGACAAGTTATTGTTTATGATTAGATCGTATTATTTGGTTAAACGAGGTTTTAAATGGCTGTAATAACGGGAAACAAATTGTAAACAAAACACGACCTCTACATAAACCGTACATGAACTAACAATAAAATTGTCTTCAGCTGTTCCATAAGGATGAGAAATCTACCATAGACTAACCAACACAACCAACACAACCAACACAAGTAGACTTCTTATCCCATTGTAAATTTTGAAGCACGTTTTTCGTGTCTAGTTCATGTACTTGACACAAAGGCGCTAGTGTCGATGAAACTTTGTTTCCATTATTTTAGGGTTAATTTCTTGATTTGTGCTTTACTGTTTGGTTATATAACTAGGGGACAAGTTATTGTTTATGATTAGATCGTATTATTTGGTTAAACGAGGTTTTAAATGGCTTTAATAACGGGAAACAAATTGTAAACAAATTACGACCTCTACATAAACCGTACATGAACTAACAATAAAATTGTCTTCAGCTGTTCCATAAGGATGAGAAATCTACTAAGGGAGTATGTTTTATCTTGAATCTACTAAGGGAGTATGTTTTATGGTTTCACTGTGACATTCCACCGAGTAATATTGCTTCTTGTACATAGTACCGCTTCATCTACCATCGTAAAATTAGTCTATGGTAAAATCTAAAGGCTGTGGCTTGTAAGAAAATTTTGACGTTTTGGTTTTGGGTTTCATAGAGGATACGCGTCCGGTAACCGGACGTGGATAAGGCGTACGGCAATGACGTCATGGGGTTGCGGGAGCCTGGAACGCCTTTACCACAACAATACAATGACCAGCCATCGGTGTTCGTGGTGTAGTGGATAAGATGCTCGGCTGATATGCAAGAGGTCCAGGGTTCGAATCCCATTGATGACTTTAACTTTTTGTCGAAGAGTTTGCATTGAATACCATTTATTCTTAACTGTACATCTTTTATTAGAATTTTTGGCATTTATAATTTTTTTTATAGAGAAAGAATTTCACCTTAATTTGATTTTTTCACTATCAGCAAGTTTGGTTGGTTAGGTTAGGTTATGACAGTAATTGCCGGACGTCTAATCCACGTCCGGTTACCGGACGCGTATCCTCTGCCTTTGGGTTTACTCTCTCTATGTAGCAGACGATGTTTTGGTCAGTTCAATTCACTTCAGTTTCAGTTAAAAAGTGAGGTTATGGTTATCAGGTGAGTTTTGCAGATAAAATTTAGTTACTTAATTAAAAAGTTTAAATTTGTTGATCAAATTGAAAAGTAACAATAACTCACTATATTACACCACAGAAAAAATGTTTAGATTGTCTAAGTAACTTAAGAAAAACACATTATTATTTCACAACATCGTCTCATTATTTGGCGGGAATCCGTTTTGACCGTTTTTTTTACCACACAGTCGGAGTCGCCACTCAATAACAAAACGGAATAAATTGTGATGATTTGATGAAGTTCTTATTAATGGACAAACCTCAGAGAACACACAGTACATGGAATGGATAATTCTCAGACCACCTTTTAGGCAATGAGGAAAAACAATGTTTTAGTGTTTGTTAAACCTTTATTATTTGTTTATAATATTAAAATTAAATGCTTATGTTTAACCTAGTTTGGTCAAGTCAAGATTGAATAAGATTATTGACCTATTATCGCTAAACTGTGAGTTTAGTTGCTTTTAGTAATGTTTTTACTGTTCCTTTTTTATTAACAGGCCTATTGATACATTTAATGAAGTCATGTATTAACTAACAACCGTTAAGTTTTTAGTCTTATTCCCTGGGCTTTGAGAGTTCCTGTCTACATTAAAGAATATAATATTAAAACCAAAAGATTATTTTTTATAGTTATGGCAGAAAGCAATCAAGTGGAAGACTATAATATTGACCCGAGAATTCCTTGTAAATATGGAAGTAGTTGTTATAGAAGAAATAAATCACATTTAGACAAGTTTAAGCATCCCCCTGGAATTTGTGAGGTAAGTTTTGCTTTTTGTGAAATTGGTAGGTGTATGGCTCTGGCTGGGGAGTGGGATTTTTTGGACACAGTACATGTAAAGGGCCAACCCCCAATAATCGGGGGTAGGCCTATACATGGGTTTGTACTGCCTTGCCGACAAAATAGGAGAAAATCTTTGTCAAAAAATCCCACTCCCCAAAGCCGTTCACAAAACTTGATGGGTTTGGACCGCTTTCTCTTAGGCCCCATCCTAGCTGGACGGCAAGAGCGACACGACCTACGGTTGCTGCTGTCGGCGACAACAGCGACATTGACTGAGGCAGCTGTGGTAGATGCTTTACAAGCGCGGCCCCGCTCTCGCTGCTCAGCTAGGACACTCCCATTACTTACCAAGTGTTTGTGTTTGTATCTGTCGGCCGCGTTGCTCTTACCGCCCAGCTAGGACGGGGCCTTAAAGACATTTAAATTGACTTAGTATAATTTCCACTGGTATAGACACACCCCCACTGCAGCAAACCTGCAGAGTACAGACCAAGCAAATTTATATTTGATTATATTTTCACTACAATATCTCCTTAAAAATGTCAGATTTATTCCCTATTTAAATCAATCAAATCAAATCATTTACTGTCCATATACAATGCAGCGGCAAAAGTCATCAGTGTCAAAATAAAAGTCATCAAAAGTCAGTTTTGAATGGCCTAGTAAAATAAAAAAGAATATAATTTCATATATATATATTTTTTGGCTGCACTTTACTTGACGTCCTACACTCATTCGAATGAAAATATCGATCGATAAATCGATTAATCGATTGCTTCATTCGATATATTGTTTGGTTAGTTAGGTAAGGTTAACCTAACCTAACTAACCAAACGATATATCGAATTAAACAATCGAATGAAAATATCGAATCGAAAAAAACAATCGAATGAGTGTAGGACGTCAAGTAAAGTGCAGCCTTTTTTTTATATAAAAAACAATAAGAATTACCTCTTAGTGCACATACCTGGGATCAACTTAGATCATTTAAAATGTAAATTTTTCCAAATTGTTATGCTGAATCGGGATTTAAATCTGAAATTTTTGAGGAATACAGTCTTTTTTTAACTAGCCAATTCTTCAAAGCAATTTTGAATTTACAGTAGAACCCCTCATATCCGGCCACCACGGGACCAAGCCCCTGGCCGGATAGCGATTTGGCCGGATAAACCAACCAACTATGAAAATGAAAATAATTCATACCTAATAATATTTAATCAATACATGCTGTCAAAAGTATCATTTAAGTCTATTCTAGGATTATTTTTAGAAGAATTAACATGTTTGTACAAATAAAAAAAAATATTTATTTGAAGGTTAAAGTTGTAAAGGAATGAACATACGAGTATTAAGATTTCAGGTAACAAAAACTATCAAATAATGGAAGTAAAAATTACAATAAATTGGCAATGAAGATTTTTAGGACCTAAATAGTAAATACATTTCTACTCAACTTTCTTATCTATTTTGTGAAATAAATACAAAAGATTAATTTCCCAATCCCCATTTGTAATTAATCAACCAACTGTTTAGAGGTTAGGCTTAGCTCAACTGAGTTTAGTGGCACAGTAAAATGTAGGCCTATCTAAACAAACAGATAAATAGTTCAGATAAATAGTTTAGCTCAGACAAGTCGCAAAGACTAGTGCTTGCATCTAAACGTCTGTAAGCTTTCAGAAAAACATTTTGATATTGGCTTCCTGGAAGTGGCCGGATAAACAGAGGACCGGTAAAACCAAGGGCGGATATCAGGGGTTCTACTGTAGTGCCTTCTAATTCCTTTATATTGTTTGGTAGGTGGTTGAAATAAATTGACCCCATCACAAAAGGACTTCGGCCAGTTCTGTTGAAATTCCTCCTCACACGGTGAAAATCATCCTTACGTCTTGTGTCGTACCTGTGGATTCGACAATTTTTACTTGTGTGCTTTACATCATTTTTCACAAGCATAATTAGTTGATAAATGTATAGTCCATACAAAGTGAGGAGATTTAAGTTAACAAAAATATCTTTACAAGACCTTTTGTACTATACTTTGGCTCAGTCTGATTGCTCTTTTCTGGAGAACAGTGGCGTTACAGATTTTTTCGGGCCCCCCTGCAAACTTATTTTTTGGGCCCCCTCTCATGAGTTATTTTTAGACCACCGATACAACATAATTAAACGCCCTACCCCCTTCCCCCAAGAGTTATTTTTTGATCAACAATACAATGGCCAAACAGATTCATCATAAATACGCTGTAGTAAATATATTATGGGTTATGTTCCATAAAAAGGCGTGTTAAGTATTTCAGTCATGGTTTGATGATAAAGTTACATCATTATCAATATCAGTATTTGTGAAAAGTTTTGAAATAAAATAAAAATTTACCCTATTTTTCATCTGTATCCGAATGTTTCGTATCAAGGAGGTGTTATATTTAATTTACATAGAGGATACGCGTCCGGTAACCGGGCGTGGATAAGGCGTACGGCAATGACGTCATGGGGTTGCGGGAGCCTGGAACGCCTTTACCACAACAATACAATGATCAGCCATCAGTGGTCGTGGTGTAGTGGATAAGGTGTTCGGCTGATATGCAAGAGGTCCAGGGTTCGAATCCCATTGGTTAACTTTATCTTTTTGTTGAAGATTTTGCACTGAATACCATTTATTCTTAACTGTACATCTTTTATTAGAATTTTTGGCATTTATAATTTTTTTATAGAGAAAGAATTTTATCCTAATTCGATTTTTTCATTATCAGCAAGTTTGGTTGGTTAGGTTAGGTTATGACAGTAATTGCCAGACGTCTAATCCACGTCTGGTTACCGGACGTGTATCCTCTGCCTTTAATTTATTACACATGTTATCAATTATTAGTTCGGGTAGTTTTTATCGGTGGTTATAATTAGGCTAACTCATACACTCAAAGTTGGTTAATTTAGAAGATTGACGTACTTTTATCAAAGGCTAAAACTTTGTCTTGTGTATGGATTTCTTGCGTTGACCTTGCAAACATAGGCTATGTCTTTAGTATTGATTAATTTTGAGGTAAAATAAGATATAGTCTAACAAACAAATCCAATAGAGTAGCAATAATTGTATTTTTCATCATACTATGATGTTTTTAGCTGTTTTACATACGTTAATAAATTGGTGGCTGAAAGTTACGTTTTGCTGGCCATGCCAGCTGCACCGTCATTTGGGGACCGAGCAGGTTTTTACATCCCTAGGGCTGCAAAATCAGCTGCCCTCCTACTTTCTTAAAACATGAATTCATATTAAATACACAATCAGTATCCATAGCATTGCAATAGAAATGTTTTATTGTCACCGATGCCTAGCAACTATTTATTATTATTTTTGCTGATTCCTCTAATTATTACTAATTACAAATTATATACTCAAATTATTACTACTCAAATTATGATATAGTGTGGTGAAAAAAAAACCGTACCACGGACCGAAATGGTTTTGCAGCTCTCGATCGTTTTAAGTTCTCGACTTCGTCTCGAACTTAAAAACTATCTTGCGCCCGCAAGACCTCATTTTTTTGGCCCTAGGTATGAAATATACTATTACCTAAATACAAATAATATTAGGGTAAAACTAAAATTGTTGGCAGACATAAGCAGTGTACAAAAGTAAAATCAAAGACCCATGTTATAAAACGTTAAAAATGTTTGTGATGAAACGAAGCAGTTTGTGATGATTCAGGCGGTGGATGACTTAGGATATCTGAATACCTACCGCTCACCCCATTGCGAGTCTGCTCGTGGCGTGCCTCAGGGGTCAGTCCTCGGTCCGGTGTTGTTCCTTGTCTTTGTGAATGATCTTCCATCAATTTTAAATTCTGGAAACATTTGTCTGTTTGCTGATGACACGTCGCTCTCGGTTTCTGATCAAAATTTCGATGAACTCGAAATAAAGGCCGTTTTGCAAGCGAGCACCATGATGCAGTGGTTTGAGGACAACTCATTGAGTCTAAATGCCAGAAAAACTGAATTTGTAGGCAGCTGGGAAAAACAAAAACAATTTCCTTTTGAATGATGTTGAGCTCGAGGCAACTGATCAGGTTAAGTTCTTGGGATTGGTGCTCGATAGAAACCTGCGCTTTCATTCCCATATTGACACTGTGTGTAGGAGGATTTCTTCGGGAATCTTTCTTCTCCGCCAACTTTCTAAGTTTGCAAAATGTGATGTTCTAATTACAGCATATTATGGAGTGATTTTCCCGCACCTGATATACGCAGTGCCGGTGTGAGTGTGGGAAAACGTCTTTCCTTTTCCGACTCCAGAAGAGGGCAGTTAGGGCAGTCTTTGGATTGAAAAGAAGAACATCTTGCAGGCAATACTTTATTTCATCACAAATTTTAACATTTCCCTCAATATACATTTTGGAAACTTTGATTCTCATTAAAAAAAAACTTACACCAATACCAATCTTCACTTACACATTCCTATTCACTACGTAACAATTCTCATCTTAAATTTCCATTTCATTCAACTACATTTTTCAAAAGACACTTTAATTACAATGGCATTAAACTTTTTAATCTCCTCCCTCCCTCCCTTCAGCTGGAGTCGAACTTGAACAGCTTTAAAAAGCAAATAAAAAAAATACTCTTGGTCAAGGGTTACTACAGTGTTCGAGATTGTGTCGCTGATGGGTTTAGTTAGTTAGTTTTTTGTTGTTGTAAGAAGTAATTGGTATTGTTTTATTGAAGCAACATTGTCTATTGTTTATTTTAATTTTAGTTCTATTAATTGACATGACAAATGCAAATTTTGTATTTGTTATTTTGGTTCAATAAATGAGTTATGAGTTATGTTACCTAAGTTCCTTTTCACTGAATAGGCCTAACAAAATTAAACGACGACAACATAATATTCATAACATTAATGTCATTACTGGTTTAATACAATTATTAAATGATTGATAATACATTTCAATAAGAATGAACTCCAATTTTTCGGCCCCACTCGTCTCACGGGCCTCTCTTCTCGCGGGTATCCGCTAGCCGTTTCGCGGGCCACTCGGTCCCTGGGCCTCCCCGCATTGCGGGCCCTGCGGGGCCGTTCAATTACGCCACTGCTGGAGAACAAAAATTGTATGCAAATTACAGTTGGGAGAACTTCCCCAGAAAATAAGGCCATAAGACAAGACAGGAAATATGACACCAAAATAAATGCTTTTTAACGTATCTGTATCTAAATAAAAAGTATTCTTTTGAGGAGGCTGATTCCACCCTAAAGTCTTGACCTTACATGAGATAGGCCTATATGATTCTTAAAAGTTAAGGTCTGATCTATATATATACTTACAGCACTCTTTACTTTCAAAGATCACATCATCCCTAACGAAATCTATCAGAGGAATGCCTGTACTACTCAATCCGAAAACTACAATTTCTGTCTTATCACGGTTGACTTTGAAATTAATATTTTCAAAATATGAGCTAGCTTTATGTACAAAATCGGCCATGCCCTGCTTGAGTTCATCAAAAGACTGAGCCCAGCATACACCTGACATTTTGTTAGCATACATACTAATTTCAACATTATTGATAGCAGGAAAACTACTAACTTAAATATTATACAGATGAGGGCCCAAAATGGACCCTTGTGGGACTCCTGAAACAATATGTTTGTGTTCTGACATGACATTGTCCATTTAGATAAACATACGTTTAACGAGTACTTTGGAAAGCTTATCATGAACATAACCTATATAAAAATCAAACTAGCCTACATTCAACGGTTGTGAGGTATTGAAGTTGTCACTATACTTGATTCAATTACTTTGATATCACGGAGGATTACTTAATATCAAACATTAGAAATGACAAAATAAATGTTAACAAAACCATCTTCTTTATTTCATTCATCAAAACAACACACTCAAACTATTATTTGTTTTCAACCAAAAACAATTGAAGAACATATGACTGTTTATTTATGTATATCAGGAAACAGTCTTTTGGCAAACAAATAAGAAAAATATATTGAGGCGTTTTCTTTATAAATGATTATTCATCGTACGTCAATCATCCCCCCCAAAACCCTCAATATATATTTCAAATCTTCCTCTTTCACAACCAAAACCCCCCTTAAACCCCCCTTTTTGGAATCTTCCTCTTAAGTTATACCCAGGTGAGGCATCGGTCTTCTGCTTCTTGCACATCATCTTCGGCTTGAGTTGCTTCACGGAGAGTTTGCGGGAGTATTTTTAACTCCGACATGTGTACCTTAATTGGTGGATCAGGCCTCAATAGTTACACTCCCTTCCCTAGCTTGTGTTCCACCTCAAAGTATTCACACGACGTAACATTGAACGCAGGTAGTATCTCGGTGTCCGTTGCGGTTGACGTGACCATAGGAGAATCGGTCTGATGCAGGATCCCATCCTCGTCTCCTGAGATGGCTGATGAGTCCTCGACCATCTCTGTCCCTCGTAGGATCTCTTCTGCACCTCCTGTGATGGCCAATGAGTCCTCGACCATCACTGTTAACCGCAGGATCTCTTGTCCATCTCCCGAGATGGCTGATGAGTCCTCAACCATCACTGTTCGTCGCAAGATCTCTTCTGCACCTCCTGGGATGACCGTTGAGTCCTCGACCCTCTCTGTTGGCCGCAGGATCTCTTGTCTATCTCCCGAGATGGCTGATGAGTCCTCGACTATCACTGTCCGTCGCAAGGTCTCTTCTGCACCTCCTGTGATGACCGTTGGGTCCTCGACCCTCTCTGTTGGCCGCAGGATCTCTTGTCTATCTCCCGAGATGGCTGATGAGTCCTCGACCATTTCTGTCCGTCGCAGGGTCTCTTCTGCACCTCCTGTGATGACCGTTGAGTCCTCGACCATCTCTGTTGGCCGCAGGATCTCTTGTCTAACTCCCGAGATGGCTGATGAGTCCTGGACCATCACTGTCCTATTCAGGATCTCTTTTGCATCTCCCGAGAAGGCCGACGAGTCCTCAAAAGTCTCTGTCTGACATAGGATCTCTATACCTCCCAGGATGGCTGATGAGTCCTCGGCTGACTCCAAGATATTTTCCCGGATGTTGAATTTTATATAATTGTAATTAATTTCGATGTCCGATTTGTCTGTTTCATAGGTGTTAGTAATAAGTTTAGTTTCTAATTTTGATTGGTTTTCCGAAATATTTTTGATTGAGGATGAAATTGCATTTTTCATGTCTGCAAAATGAATATCCAATTGTTTTGATCGAGTTTCTAACTGCACCGAAATCTTTGCTAGTAACATCCTCACCGGGTCCGCTGGTGGTCTTAGCTCTACCGACTGGGAATTTCGTCCTACCCGTGGACGACAGTCGTAGGCTCCGCCTCCCGTCCACATCTGCTCACCTTCATTCAGACGTTCCCCAGCATTACTATGGTCAAATTTCCAAACCCTAATTTTGTCATTTCTTCTTCAAGATTCAAAGAGTCTTTATTCACACAGTACAAATTTTCGTACATGAATAGTGTCTATTGTTACTTTCAAACAATAGACTACCTAAATTAGCAATCTTAAAGTCCTGTCACGGTCGCCAATTGAAGTCGTCACTATACACTATATATTTAATTACTTTGATATCACGGACGATTACTTAATATCAAACATTAGAAATGACAAAATAAATGTTAACAAAAACCATCTTCTTTATTTCATTCATCAAAACAACACACTCAAACTATTATTTGTTTTCAACCAAAAACAATTGAAGAACATATGACTGTTTATTTATGTATATCAGGAAACAGTCTTTTGGCAAACAAATAAGAAAAACATATTGGGGTGTTTTCTTTATAAATGATTATTCATCGTACGTCAAAAGCTTATCATGAACATAACCTATATGAAAATCAAACTAGCCTACATTCAACGGTTGTGAGGTGTGGTCTGTAATATAGTACTATGTAGTTAAATGAATGCACACTAGACCCAAAATGCAATGTAGACCCCCTCTGGGCCCCTGTAAGCTGCCACACCCCAACAAGTCACACAATCTATTTTTACTTTCTCCACCTAGAGGTACATAGTGTACGGAGCAGTATTGTTTTCATAAAAAATTTTGAGTTTGAGTTTTGTGTGGATATATTTGTTTTGGGTCCCCCTGAACCCAAAAAGTGATTTTAAAAGTGAGATCTATCCGTGTGTGTTGTTTTTTGTAACTTTGATTTTCAATGGTGATTTTTACATAAAAACCCATGAAATCCCCATGAAAAACCCACAGAGAAATCATATTTTCTCAAAAATGGCTTAAGCAATTTTGATAACAATTTAGTATGTTGTAGACCTTTTAATTCTGAAAAAACTCCCATTCCTGTAAAAATTACGGTTCAAAAGTTATTGTAACTTATGTAATTTTCCCATAAATATCCATAAATAAAAAAAATCTTATAAAACAACTTGTTTTGATGTAAATAATTCTAAACAAAATAGTGCAACCCCCCCCCCCCCCGCCCCGTTCCTGTAAACTTCACGGTTAAAAAGTCAATACGACTTTTTTGATTTTACCTATCTTACCCATGATAAAGGTTGTTGACAAGCTAATGGGAGAAAGTATGTGTCAGATTACTGATGCCGTTTAGGCCTATTTGTTTTAAATTTGCTCCTTACACATAAGTGTGCATGTGTGAGAACTCCTTTTCTTTAAATATGTAGTAAAATAATGCCTTTGAAAACTATTTTTATACTTTTACTTATTGTGTTGTTGATATTGTGCAGGATGATGCAAACAATTATGCTACACCTAGCAAGAAACCAAAGATGGATAGTGTCCCTTCTAGTAGTGACTCCTTTGAAAGCTTAGCAGGAGAAAGTAAAGGACAGCCAACATCCTCAATCAAAATAAATTCAGTTGAATTTCAACCACAAACCTCACCGAAAAATGAAAAGAAGGAATCTTGTAAGAGAATTGGAGAGGAAATTATTGATAATGTTGTTGCCACAACTACAGACAAAATCAGATGCCCCCAATCCAAAAAAATAGATCTTGGATGTAATGCCCAGGAAGTAATTAAAAAGCTGTTTCTCGTAGACATGCCTGAGGATTTTTTTAGCTTTTGGAATATGTGTGTGAAACTGAAAAGCACCGATCCTGCAAGTAAGTTTTTTTTTATTAACTCTGTTTTATTCTATTTGTTCATTACCTACTTTCTAGTTTAGTGCGATCATATTTCATGATTTTTTAGTAAGAAATTAAAACAACCCATTTTTAACCCTTCCTGCGTGGTGGCTGCAGGGTGTAGCCCTACTTACTAGGCGATCAATAATTTGTTTGGGGTTTAAAAATTTGATTTTTAAATTTTCAGTGTTGGGGAAGCTACTTTTAAAATTTACAACTACTGCTACATTTCCAAAAAAGTACCTTAGCTACAGCTACAGCTACAGTTCCGAAAAAGTAGTTAGCTACCACTACAGCTACACTGAAATGTAGCTATAGATACAATTTTAGCTACTTTTCCAAAGACGTTACTTTTATTCCATGCACATTAGGTACGTAAATGTAAAATTAATTGCAACAACATTGTTATTGGACAAACACTAAAACAACAAAATGTCGGTATTGTATCTAACATTACTTGTTGAACAACTTATTCCTAGATTGAATTTAATTTATTGGCATCATAAACCTAACATTACAACAACGAAACCAAAATAGCTGTGTCATATCATATTTAGTACTTTTTTTTTTTAATATTGCATAATTTTTAAGCATCTTATATTTAAATTTCATTAAGTTCAAAGGACATACAACCAAACTATATTTTAAAAGCTCATTTTATTTCTTTAATGCAAATTCATTTATAGATGTCTTATATCAACTATTAAAAAAAATAAAACTGTAAAACGATTATTTAAAAATACTCTTTTTTGTTACAGAGCCTAGCCTACTGAAATTGGAGTTAATTGCTTTTCTTTATTTTAATGTTGAAATCGACATTACTATAACTTTTAACCGTAGTGATAAGTTACTTGTTCTATGAAGAACACTATTCTTAGAGCTTTAAGAAATTCGGCTTTGAGTCTCACTGCTTCTGGGTCCATAGAGAATTTTAGTTTATGTTTTCTTTGTGTTTTTATCTTCTTTTGGGGGCAGGCTGTATCCATACCTACTCTCACTATGTTACTAAAAGTTTTAAAAGCTTCTTCGGCATTGTTTATTGAGGTAACACTAAGCCAGTTTTCTTGACTGAGAAGATACTTGAGGTCTTGCAGGTTTTTATTTTTTAGGCAGCGTCCAATTTGGGCTGGATAACTTGAGTTGATGTGTGAGTTGAAGTTTACAGTACAGAGTTGAGCAGTATGATCCGAAAGTCCTGCATTGATGACTTCTGGAGTGAGTTGGTTTGTATCCATATTTGTACATATCCAGTCAATGGAGGTTTGTGTTCGATTTGTTATTCTCGTAGGTGGAAGCTGTAGTCTCTGGATGTTGTGCATAGCAAGAGTTTCATTTAAGATAATGTGTTTCCTGTTTGGGTTACACAAATCAACGTTAATATCTCCCATGATGATAAGAGGGGAATTTTCAATTTTTGTTTCCTCAAATAGTTCTGTAAAGGTGTTTAATGGTTCCTCAAGGTCTCCGTTTGGCGGTCTGTAGGTTCTCAGTACAAAGAGATTTGGGTTCTTGAATTTTATTTTTATAAGAGCTGCTTCAAATAACAGTTCTTTACAGTACTTGGAAACATCTATGGCTACTATGCTGCTCTCAAGGCTTTCTTTGACAAGAATGCACACATCTCCCTTTCTGTGTTCTATTCTACTATAGTGAGCCTTGAGGCAGAATCCAGTAGCTATGACGGTGCTACTTATTGTGTCAGGTTTCAGTCCATGTTCTGTCAGAACTACTATGTCAGGTTTGGTTTCTTCTAAAAGGTGCTGTAGTCTATTTTTTTTATTTGAGACTACCTGTGTATTTTGGTGCAGCAGGATGAGTTTGGAGTTTACATCCTGAATCGATTGTCTAAAAAACAGTCAGGTTGCGTTTCTCTTGTCTCTGATGAAACATAAACAAACTCAGAATCAAATTATCTATGTGTCAAAGTCAAAGTCAAAACATTCTTTATTCATTGTTTTGTAGCGTAAGTACATTGAACATGCGTCATTTCTTAAAATTAATCCTTATAATACAATTTCTGTCAATAAATACAATAATGTTAAAAACACCATCATTTCCGTTGGCAAATATTAAATTTAAGGCCGCTAGTTATTTTAAAACTCATCTAGTGAGTATAATGCTCTCTCAACTAGGTGTTCTTTTAATTTTCTCTTAAATTTTGAAAACTCTTGATTTGTGTCTATTATGGTAGAAATTTTGTTTAAAAATTTAGATCCTATATAATTTGGCTTTTTCTCAAACATTTTTAATCGGTGACTTTGCAACCTTATTTTTTTATTGTTTCTTGTATTATAATGGTGGATCAACTGACCAGTCTCAAATTGTTCTTGATTTTGTTTTGAGTAAACAATAGTTTCATATACATAAAGACTAAATACCGTCATAATTCTTAATTCTTTAAAATTTTCTTTAACATGGTCAGTTTGTTCCATATTTAGCATTATTCTGATTGATTTCTTTTGTAGTTTTAATATCTCATTCAGATTATTAATATTGGTTGCTCCATAAACATGTATATTGTAGGCTAAATGAGAATGAATCATACCGTAATAGACCATTTTGAGAGTTGTCATATTCCCAAATATTTGCTAATGTCCTGAGAGCAGACACACCATTTCATTTTCATTTTTGCCAGTACTTTTTCAACGTGGGAGTTCCAACTGAGACTGCTGTCTATATTTAGGCCTAAAAAGGTTGTTTGTCGAACAGGTTCTAAAGATGTATTGTCAATTTTTGTGTTGGGGAAAGCAATTGTTTTGTTTTTGGTGGAAAAGTTAATATAATTAGTTTTAGAAATATTCAAAAATAAACTAAGCTCAATTAAAAACCTTTGGATATTAATGAGTTCTGAGTTTGCCACAGATTCTATATCCTCTAATTTTTTTCCTGATATCTTTAAGTTTGAATCATCTGCATAAAGAATTATTTTGCTCCCCCTTTGATTTACTAGTGTTTGGTTCAAACCGTTGATGTAGATTATGAACAATAAGGGACCCAAAATTGACCCTAGAGGTACACCTGTTTTTATTTTTCCAAGTTTTGATATTATTTTTGTTGTACTGTTTTTGTGAGAGTATGTTACTTCTACATATTGAGCTCTGTTTTCTATATATGACTGAAACCAATTATAAGAAATTTTGGTAATTCCCACATTCTTTAGAATTTCCAACAACTTACTGTGGCAAACACTATCAAATGCTTTTTTAAGGGCCATAAAGATGCCAATACATGTTTCACCTTTATCTATTGAATTTAGAATGGTTTCCACAAATTCTGCTGTTGCAGTCCCAGTTGATCTCCCTTAGCGGAAACCATGCTGAGATTCATCTAACAAACCCTCTGTCTCTAAATATTCCAATAGCCTTTAGTGCATGGCTCTCTCATAGATTTTTGAGAAAGTTGGGAGCAACAATAAGGTCCTATAATTTGAAATTTGTTTAGGATCACCTTTTTTTAGAGCTGGTATTACTTTGGCTATTTTTAGTTTGTGTGTAAAAATTCCAGGATAGAATTCAGGATAATTATATGAAGGATTCAGGAAATTCAGGATAGATATCCCAGTACAACATATCTTTTGTGTAAAAAACAGTTAGTTATTTGTGTATGTTTGCTTTTGTTGAAGTAATTTTCAATAAATAATTTAAATTATTCCTATAAAAAAAGTCTAATCAATTTTGCGATTGGTTAGGGTTCCATTACCCAGTTATCGAAACCAATCACAAAAATACTTTTCACAGCATATTCAACATGCATATTTTTGGATACTTTTATGAAACGGAAACTACCTCTAGGTTTTACTGTTAAATATGGATGCTCCCTTTACTCCATATTTACCTTGGTACATATCGGTACATGCAAGGCTATTTTATTTGAACCTTTTTTTGCTTGGAGCAGAAGGCAGTACTTGGTTAAAATCTCCTCCAAACAATATTGGTTTTTCGCCCATTGGAACTTGTCATAGTACTTAATTGATGAACAAATATATTGCCTGTACAAACCTATTTCATCTTTATTCCCAGGTTGATTTTTAAGAGTGGCAGTTGAGGTTATTCCATTTCATACAAAATTTTGATTGTATGATTAAATCTTATCCATCTTCACACCCAACCCAGCTACCATGTTCGGTACAACTACAGTATCAATAGGCCTACCTTTTAAGACCTATAAAGAGTTTTTGAAAGTGAAGGTATATCCTAAAAAAAATATTCCTTTTTTTTAGTACAGTAGTTAATGTAATGACAAATGTGTTACTTTCGCACCCTTCAACAGAGATCATGTTCTGTAGTTAAGCTGTAGTTTTGATGTTTCTTCAAATAGCAATAGCAACAATTTAATGTTTTTCTTATTCTGATATAGGCTACTGTAGGAATTTACCCCTATACAGTCAACAAATGTTCCTCCACCTCAGCCTATCTTGCTTAATCTTTTTCATTCCTTCCCACCTGGTTGTAGAAAATCTTGGATCGTAAACCAAAAATAGCACTTTAAGACCTATTAAATTTTGCAGATGCGTTGACAGATATTAAATTAAAACTTGTTGGACCCTTTGATGTAATGGCAGGAAAAGTAAAAGATGTTTTTGAAGAAGATTTACCAGGCTTTCTGAGACATTGGCGATTTTATTATGATCCTCCGGAATGTCAGGTAAGATGAATAGCTGTACTATTATGTTTTACACTTCAAAACAGTAGTAATGGAATACTAACATTTCCTTATTCAAAAGTACAATTTTAGAGGACTAAGTTAACTTAAAATCTTGCTTTCAAATCATTGCTTGGTAATAGGTTGTCCTACTAGTAGGCGAGTACTCAAATGTTGAGTTGTTGATTAGGAGCACACAAGTCTTATTAGATGTTTGTTTACACTTTCTTCAATCCCTATCATGTCTCTTTCTCACTTTCTCAACATTTTATCATGCCAATATTATTCATATGATGGCTATTAAATTGATATATGTTTAGGTTTCCACTTCTTACTCAAACAGCATTTTTGCCAATGGGAACTGGTATGTGAAGTGATTGGCTGACCCAAAACAGCCTACCCACAATTTCTCAATATAATCGTTAGTTCTTGATAGTTTTATAAAAAATATTGTTGGTTACAAAATAGTAATCAAAAGAATTACACATTTATTTGGGTAGTATAACTTCATGCTAGCCTATTCATATTTCAAACATAGTTAAAATGAGTGTAAATCGTGAGTTCTGTTAAAATTGTCGTTAATTAGACTAACTTTTCCAACAATGGATATGACAATGTTTTAGAAGTAAAACACAGCACTCGACTTAGAAATGAACACACAACCACGAACAACTACAAAAGGCTAACTGCAAAACCTAGACAAAATTTTGCCTAACTTTTGGATTGACTCTGTAGGACCGACGAGTGTTCTATCTTAACCAATTTGATAAAACTACTCGTATCAAACCTTAAACTGTTTGGCTAAAACGTTTGTAAATAATATAATATCGAATATATATAAGGTAAAAACACAATTCCTACAGAGTCACCGGGGCCTAATTAATATAACTGGACGGATAATTTTACAAGATACGTTAAAAATAGATTTAATGTTAATATTCGTAGCTGATTGATTGTCAAATTGGCCTACTACCAGACTTGGTTCTTTCACCCGCCAAAGATGGGGTTTAGAACTCAGAAGATAAATCTCGGGTTATCAAAACGTCGAATTAACTAGAATAATTTAAGTAACAACTAATCGTTAAACGAACAGGATAAACGTAATTTCGTAGCTAATGGATTTAAACGAGCCGAAAGATATCCACGGCTAGTCACTAACCGGCAGGAACTGGCGGGTCAAGACTTAAGTCTGCGAAAACTAAGTTATTAGAAATTTAGACAATTAAAATCAAACCTGAACGGGTAAAATAAGTGGCAGACGAGTATGCGTAGGTTATTATAACGAAAAGAAAATTAACGTTAGAAAGTCTAACAATGAACTTAGCTAACCTGAATGGATAATGTAGTGGTATGGCATGATCGTAATTCGTGTTAGAAGGGGCTTCTCGTGAGCGAGTCGACGGTCGAACAGCGAATGAAAATCTGTCCGGCTCAAATCACTATTTCCTCGCCAAGGCTTAAGCGCTCTGGTGGTGAGTTCAAGAACTAGCCAACAGCTGATCGGAAATTCACCTGTTGAGCCGGTCTAGTTGTCGTCTGTCATCAGTCAGCAAACATCATTTCGAGGTTATGTCATGTTGTCATCGGCGTTAAATATTCGTAAAATCGGCCAGTTTAACTTTATTTTGTGACATGGAGTGCTATTACTGATAAATATATTGTGTGAGTGTGTGTATGTACTTCACTGTTATTAAAAGTAGGCCTACGTTCTTTGGCCCATAGCCCAAGCTATGGCCAACACATAGGCCTAGGAATAGGCTATTGTGGATGAAAACTGGTAAGTTATGGTGTTTGTTGACTAGCAGTACGTTTTTACCCCCCTTAAAATTTGGTACCTTACACATAGAAACCTATAGCATGTTAAAAATGTAAAATTTTGGTTAGTTTTAAATTCTGTAGGCATTATCAAATTAGAATTTGTCTAAAAAAAAAAATTCTCACTGTTCGTCAAAATAATGTTGGTAAGTTTGGCTAAGATATGTTCAGCGGTTATTGCGTGATGCGATTACAACAGTTGGATAAGGCCCGATCTGAATGAGCTCCACTCAATTAATACAAAATGAATTTTTTCTTTGAGCATAAAAGTTAACATTAACACATATCAATTATCAGTTTATCATAGGCTCATCAGTAAATTTTCACTTTATATTTTGTACTTCATTGTGGATAGTAGCCTCCGGATTGCCAAATAATATTAATAGACTAGTAAAAATAGCTTAAAATTTACCTGTACCTAGAATTAATTGTAATATAATTTCTTTAAATGGATTCTTATGTAAAAATGGCTGAAAAAAACGATGGTGAAAAGTCTACCACTCTACGGAGGTGCGTTGGCCTTGTATGAAAGGTTTTTCAAAATGGCTACCGTAAATATTTATGTTTTTAGCCAATAAGTCCTAAACTATTACAGGTAGCTTAAATAAGTAAATGAGTAAATTTTAAAGAATTAAATTGCGCAACTTTTGGTATATAATAAGTTACAAGTCCTTACATTCTTAAAGAAAATAATGTAGTCAGTAAATTTTAATAGTTTATTGTTATTCAGAGAAATGTTGAGTTATGGATTTTAAGTTGGCAACAATGATTGTTTTGTACCAGCTTAGAGTTCTTATTGTTGTTGTTAATATTTCTACATGTTTCTAGTTTACTTTCATGTTCAGTAGTGATGTTTTTAATTCAATTTCAGTGCATTTTATGAAAAAAGCTAATTTGAACTAAGCAGCAAAAAAACCTGTGATACAAATGAGAACTGTAAAAGTAGCATTGTTTGCAGTTATGATTATGTTTTTAATTTCATGAATAATTTGTGATATTTTGCGAATTCTTAATAACTATTTTTCTCTATTGTGCTTGTGTAGGTGAAGTGGTAGAGCATTGTGACTATGGTAGATGTGTAATACTATTGCATACCGTAAATTTGAGGGAGCAAATTTTCTCAAACCGCGTCTTCTCACATTGCAAACGCAAAGATTGAGTATAACTGCAATAAGCATTTTATGTACTTATTTGCCAAACCACACGAAGGACGGGTACTCTGCTAGTAGTATAATACTTATACTATATATATCACAAACGAGATTTTGTGGCAATGATATATTTTTAGTAAGAACGCAAAACTCGAGAACCATTAAATTTGGGCTGAAACTTTTCATAAGAGTAGGTAGTAATTTGGACAACACAAAAATGACTAATCACGTTTCGAAAATCCGATGTCTTGGGGCTCCACCCCATTGGCCATAAAAGTTTAGTGTTAATTCTTATTCCAATTTATTTATTTTCATGATTACCATGGAAACTATTTATTTTTCATGACCAAGCACATATTTAGATACAAATACAAATACAAATATATTTATTTGTGATCATACAAAATCTTGGCCTCGCCAAGTTTGCAAAACTTGTCGGCGAGGTCCAATTGATTCACAAAAATTTAACAAACAAAATTTACATTTTTTTTCTTTTTTTCTTTTTAACAAATATAAATATTTCTAGCGCTACTAATTCCATGGCGGTTTGTGGCAGGCACCTATCTAAGTTGTACATAATAATGGCAGCAGAAATGTAAAATTCTAATACAGTATGGCTTGAAAAAAAAAATTGCTGATTTATAATCAATGCTTCATTCCGAAGTCTTTGTTCTCCTGGTTCATAGACCAGGGGTTTCAAAATATTGAAGAGGCAGTGTCTACCTGGAGAAAAAACGTATTCGTTTGTTTTGTTTCTTGTTTCCTGAAAATTTGATTATTGAGACATAACCTCTCCCTAAGAAAAGTTATGCCCATGCAGGCATTTATTTACACAAAGCGGAGAAAAAATAAAAAACTAATATGTTTGAGAAGCTTTCTTTGATATTTTCTTCCCTAATAGATGTATTTTGTACTGTGTTTCTGATGTGGTGGGTTTTGTGTGTGTTTGTAAAAATTGTATTTAACAGTGGCTGTAATTGTGTGCCCTAGCAAAGTTTTAACCTAATTTTGTGAAGTGTCTTTATTTATTTATGTGATGTGTGTGTTTTGTGTTCTATCCGATGTAGTTAGATACCAGTTTGGCCTAGTCGTTTTTATTTTGCCTGGAACATGGAACCATGGAACATGAGGAAGATCAATTACCTCATAGGCACATTAAACGATATGTATACTTTAACTTCAGAAACCGCATTCTACTAGCCTGAGAAGAATACACTGTAGCCTAATGGAAATCTTCCACGTCCTTAAGCTCTCTTCATAGGAAACATTACGTTTCTTGATAACCTCAGAAAATGCCCCTGCTGGAACTACGCTAGCTACCCATGCCATGGAAAGTTCCATTACCATCTAGTCTAATTATATTGTGGCCAATGTTGTCAGCAGAATATTGAATAAAACGCTCAGGAGATGTGGATTGTGATTAGGCATACTTGTACCTCTATGTGCAGCAGCAGAATGGGCGACCTGGCAGAGCTTATGTCACTAATTGTTGTGGTATAGATTTTCCATTTCGAAATTTTACTAAACATTGTTTGTGATAACATGCTTTCATAGCAGGAAAATCATACACATTTAGAAGCCGTATTTTGACTTTGACAGCCCATTCATCTTTACATTCGTTGCACTTTTCTAGCACTGATGTTCTTAAGTTTAGCGTCCGAGCTTCAAACCGTTCGTTTTATCCCTCTGTTTATATGTTAGGCTTAATTCAGCTGTGCACAACAAACAATTACTCTTGAAATCAAAATAGGTTTCACTAAAACGTGTCAAACGGGAACAATTGGTTTCATCCTCCCGCTTTCTGAATGAAGACTTTAAGTCAATAAACTGCGCTCTACATTTTTTATGAATTTTTTACCAAAAATTACATGGAATTCAGTTATTTTCCTTGCCTTACTGGTTCGGTGTATTGCTTCGATTGATTTTTGAGTGAGAGATAACACCTCACAACTGTCGTGTATAATTTGTTCACAAATAAAACATGTTTCGATATCTATTCTATTTTTCATTTTTCTATTTTCAGTTGTCATACTAAGGGGGATTAACATCCCCATCGCAACACTAATTTCACTAAAATTTAATTAAAAACATCACTAGGTCTACTGAACATGAAAGTAAACTAGAAACATGTAGAAATATTAACAACAACAATAAGAACTCTCAGCTGGTACAAAACAATCATTGTTGCCAACTTAAAATCCATAACTCAACATTTCTCTGAATAACAATAAACTATTAAAATTGTTTGATTACATTTTTTTTTTCTTATGTAAAAAAGTAAGAAAAGTCTTTATTCTTATGTAAAGACTTGTAACTTATTATATACCAAAAGTTGCGCAATTTAATTCTTTAAAATTTACTCATTTACTTATTTAAGCTACCTGTAATAGTTTAGGACTTATTGGCTAAAAACATAAATATTTACGGTAGCCATTTTGAAAAACCTTTCATACAAGGCCAACGCACCTCCGTAGAGTGGTAGACTTTTCACCATCGTTTTTTTCAGCCATTTTTACATAAGAATCCATTTATAGAAATTATATTACAATTACTTCTAGGTTAACCAACAATTTTACTAGTCTATAAAGAGGTTTAAATACCCGCTATCAAGCAATCCATTTAATTGCAGTTGCAACTAGTTTTGACTCCTATGTGGAGTCATCATCAAGGATCGTACAAGGACTTCTTTCTTCACATGAAGAGTGTCATATTTAACACGTAAAAATAAATAAACATTTACACACGATGCCAAACACGTTACGGACACGAAACATTTACTGATCAGTTATGACAACAGACGACGCTAACCCGGCGTAGTTTAAGTCCGGACTAAATTAAGAAATCTAAATTAGTGCCATTTTGTCACCAATACCACAGAAAACGTACTACTATAACCCAGAATGCCAACCGCATGGTAAAAAGCATTAAGTGTTTTGAGAGAGCTTTGCCTGTCAATCCGTAGGTTTCTGTGCCAATACTAAGTAAGTTTAACACATAAACATTTTTAACGCTAACCTCATTCCACCCTGTATACTATACAGTACTTAGTTGCCTATAGAATCGGAACCCCTTAACTGAATTTAAATATATTTGTATCTTGGAGGAGTTTGGCAAATCATGCATCGTAAGGTGAGACTCTTGCACATAATACCAACTACTTGATTTATAATTATTATTCTCAAATAAAAATAACTACAAATAATAACGAATGGGTTCTTTCGTATACTTGGACTCGTCAGGCAGACGTTCACATGTTTTGGACGTATTTTAATTCATCCAGAGATTGTCCTTACTATATAAATTTTTCAGGGGGGTGCAAGATTATTGTTTGCTTTTGCTAGAAAAATATCTAGAACCGGCCATGTGAGTACTTCCCCTGTGGTGAAGCACGGCTATAGCAACTCGTAACAATATATGAATAAAAAAAAAATACATTTCTAGGTTCTTGGTTAGATTTATGTTAAAGAACATTTTCAGACAGTTTTGGCGAGCACACTCCCATCCTGCTACCACATTGGATACTACAGAGATGATCCAAAAGAATTGCCAGTATTTGTTGTCAACAACTCACTTAACAGTAAAAACCCTGAGAAGAATGGTGAACTAAAAGTTATGGGACCAAACTTATTTGCAGCTTTCAAGTAAGTACTAGAGTAAAGATCAATAACTAACTGATCTATTAGAATTTTGTTATAAAAATAATAATGATAAAAAGCAAATCAGCCTAGGTCTTAACATGATACCTACAATAATTGTTTATTCCCTATAATATGCAAATTCGCTAAAATTGAAAAATGAAGTATCAGACTAAAGTTTTCTATTTCCGACAAAATAGGGTAGGTACCAATGTCAATGTGCAGCATTTTCAAGGTAACCCTTCTTTTCTCACGTAAACGTTGAGAGACTGTTGGAAAACTTTAGTCTGTTTTATTTATTTTTTTATTTTTATTTTTTATGTGCGTGAAATGGACTGTCGTGACAAGGATTGCGTTCTCCTTATTTCAAAAAGTTGTGTGATGCTCAAAAATATGTAGGCTACCTATCTAACTGAATAGAGAGTTGGTTGCAACAGGTTGGGCAGACAACAGTAGTTAGGGGAGCAAGTTGATCTAGTGGTAGAGTGTGGGCATTAGGTCATGGGTTTGAATCCTGTCAATCACTAATGGATTTTATCTATGTTTTGATGCCGCAACCCTCTAGGCTTAGACTGGAGGAATGTGTAAAATGGTTTAGGGTGGAGCTTACATCATAGAATATGAATGTGGGAATAAATGTACACAACTATATTTATATAATAATTTAAAAATGGTTTATTAATTTACAGTAGAGTCCTGCTTATCCGAGGTAATTGGGACCAAAGGCAACTCGGCTAAAAAAACTTGGTTAACAGGGAAAGTTTAACAGACATTGGTTTTGACAGTTTTTAGTTCGTCAATAGAGGAACGTTTTTCTGTTTTTCCCCAAAAAGCTTCCTATATGATTCCCTGACTGTTATCTGTCCAATTGTCCCATGCCTCGGTGACCCATGAAGAAACATTTTTGATAGTTATTGCTCTCTGAGTTACCGGAACAATGTTTCCTTTGTCCAACTGTTCAATCAAGAAGGTCAACAGTATTTTTCGATAGTTTCTCTTGAACGTTTCAAGAGCACCTTGATCATGCGGCTGAATTAGCGAAGTAACATTAGGTGGCAAGAATATTGCCTTAATGTCTCCACTTACCAGATTGTCAGAGTGAGGGTGTGAGCGGGCGTTGCCTAGAAGCAATACCGCCTTGTGTGGGAGATTCTTTTTCTTTAAAAATCCTTCTACAATAGGTATTCTTGATTCTTGGTATCAAATGGTTGAAAACCCACTGCTTAAAAATTTGACTATCAGTCCAAGCATTTTTTTGACTTTCGTACAACACTGGTATGCATTTAATGTTAAGGTTTTTGAAAGCTCCAGGGTTTTTTCTTTACCAATAACCATCGGTTTCAATTTCAAACTTCCGGATGCATTGTAACATCCCAGAATAGTAACCCTATCCATTATATATCCAGGTGCTGAGTGCTCATCTCTAGCTGCTAACAATTTAGATAGTAACATTCGGTAATTTAGGCCTGTTTCATCGCAATTAAATATATGTTCTGAGGTAAGACCATGTTTCAATATCAGGGTTTCCATTTTTTTTCTCAGCTAATATCTAACAGTCTTATCCCAAACCTCTTCTTCCATCGGTCTAGCCACCCTATACTAGCAGTAAAAAAGTTTCATCGCCATCTTTGAACTGTTTTTGAAATGCTGCTGCTTTGGCTGGGATGATTGGTCCATTTTATGGACGACCCAGTGACCTCATTTGAGAGAACATATAAACAAAGCCTCAGATATCTTTTCATATTCACATTTTTTCATAGTTTTCCTACTTGAAATGTTGTCAAAACTACTGCTATGAGAAACCCACCCTTCAATTTTAGATCTTTTACACCGCCAGTCTCCCACGGTTACTTACCGAACTCCTAGATGCTTAGGCCCCCTTTCTTAATAGACTTTACATTGTCAAGATGTTTAATTGCATTCAATTTAGTTTCAATTTAAACAACAGCACACCATTCCATTTATCACTCATCATGTGCTTAGAAATAGAAGGGACATCTCACAACGTACCAGTACCTTTCTTCAACGTCACTCACTACGGTGTTGACAACTAAGCAAAACCAACTATGGTGTGGCAGTAAAACTAACTACAAAATGGTGGGAAGCAAATCAAACTGTTCAAATCACGAACACTCTTGACTTTGGCCGAATACTCGATGTTTGATGCTCGCTTCCGACGGCTGCTGGTTGCTCCCGACTTCTTCCAACTGCTGCCGACTTTTACCAATATCTGTTAACCTCAGATTGGACCTAATTTTTAAATTTTTAAGAGGTGCCTCGGTTAACCCGGACTCTACTGTATTTATTTAATTTATTTACCAAGGGCAATACACCAATATAGTACAAAATATTACAAAACTGAAAGCAGCAGAAACAATGAAAAAATGAAAATGAAAAAATTCTTTATTTTACCAGGCAAAGTTAGGGCCACATGGCCCTCTCTTACACTTAACCTGACAAACTTAAATATAAATATGTTGAGGATTTTATATAGTATTGCTTTGCTTAATGCTATGTAATCAAATATCTTTTTAATGTGTCTTTTAATATCAGCTGCTTGATTATATTATTATGTTGTTCTAATATGTTCACAGTTTGAAGTGTTAATGTTTTAATATCTTTCCTTTTTACATCAATTATTAATAAAGTATTTTATGTATATTATTCCCTCATTTCATCAGGTTACGGGCCCAGAAGACGTTTTTGATATAATTCATTTTGAATATGTATAAAATTACATTAAAATGAAGAATTCTGGACTGATTGTGTTTGGTAAGATTTCTAGGCTTATGAACAATATTTTGTTACCTAATTTCTTGAACTGAATTTTTATGTTGTTTGACCTAAAATGGAAACTACACAAGAAAACACTAATACAACTCCTACTATTACACCTACCTCAAGTAATACAGGATTGTCTAGTATGACAAATATTATAATGGGAGGAAATAGTAATGTTGAACGTCTAGAGGGTGTTTCAAATTATAACAATTGGAAGTTTTCAATGAAAATGGCCTTAATAATTGATGGACTTTGGGATTGTGTATCTGATGATACTGAAATTAAAGATAAAAACAGAGATCAAAAGGCTCTTGCAAAAATTTGTTTAAATGTTTTGCCTACTTGTTATCCTTATGTTAGGAATGCTAACACTGCTAAAGAAGCTTGGGATAATCTCCAGAATGCTTTTGAAAACAAAAGTTTGGTTAGAAGACTAAGTCTTTTAAGACGTTTACTTAGAACTAAATTGGAAGATTTTAGCACAATGGCAGACTATGTAAATGGAACTTTGTCCTTAGTTCAACAGTTAGCTGACATAAATCACATTGTTGGTGATGAAGAAGTTGCAATGCTACTTCTTGGTGGTTTACCTTCAGAATATGAACCACTTATTATGGGTATTGAAGTTACTCAAACAACTGTCTCAAGTGACTTTGTTAAAACTCGTCTCTTACAAGAGGATTTTAGGAGGTCTGAAAATACTTCAACTGGCAGTGAATCAGCTTTGGCAATTAACCCTTTGAGTGCCAACGTCCGGGGAACCGGACGTTTTTAAAACGAGCCAAAAGTGCCGACGTCCGACCGACCGGACGTTTTTAGAACGAGCCAAAAGTGCCAATGTCCGGCTGACCGGACGTTTCGTAATGATCGAACAGTTGTCATAACAACTGAATGGATACTGGGATTCTTTTAACCCATATATTAACATTGAGTCGAAAGTTACTAGATGCGATACATCGATTTTCGTTGGTCGAAATATCGAAAATTCGATTTTTACGAAATTTTAACCTAAAAATCGCCAGATCGCGCTCGGCATTTTTAGCGCGACCTTCGGGAAGAATCATCCGCATTTTTTGAGCGTTACTTTTATTTCTCACCTGGCACTCTAAGGGTTAAACATTCTTATGCCAAGAAAATTGAGAAGTTGAAAGATTCAAAAGGTAAGTTTACACCAAAGAAAAAGAAAATTATTTGTCATCTTTGTAACCAACCTGGTCATATTAAGCATAACTGTCCTAATCTTGGCAATAATTCTCAGCACAGATCTAAGGCAAATTATGTTGGGAAACACAAAGAAAATGACAATGTGTTGCTTACAACTGTTTTCCATGCTGAAAATATAAAATCTTATGAATCCAAAGTTGATTATAATGATTGGGTAATTGATTCAGGTTGTACAACTCATATGAGTAATCAAATGGTGAAAAATGGTAAGTTTGAAAAGAAGGAAGTTTTGGTGGCCAATAATGCAAAACTTACAAGTAATTGTGTTGGTGATATTGAACTTTATATAGAAAATTCTAATAAAGTTACTGTTAAGGATGTTTTATACATACCAGAACTTGCTACTAATTTGTTGTCTGTAAATAAAATTACAGAAAAAGGTAAAATAGTAGTTTTTGATCAAGATTCGTGCAGAATTTATTCAGAAAATGACTGTCGAATAGAGGGAAATAGTGATATTTCTGCTGTGAATGACGGTGGTGTATATAAACTAAACTTAATTGAGCCAACAGAGTTGAATGGTCACTCTGAATTTGATTCATCAGCTGCTCTTACAGTTGCTACCAAAGGTACGTGGCACCGTAGATTAGGCCATCTAAGTCATAAAGGAATGGATTTACTAAGAAATGGTTTAGTTAATGGAGTAAATTATTCAAAATCAGAAAAGGAGAATACTTGTACCGCATGTATTGAAGGTAAGATAACGAGAAAATCTTTTCCTAAAGGTCAAAGTATCAGAGCTACTTCATTACTTGAGCTAATTCATTCAGACTTATGTGGACCTATGTCAGTTAAAAGTTGGGGTGGATCTCTTTATCTTTTAACATTCACCGATGATCTCTCAAGAAAAACTTTTGGTTATTTACTTAAACACAAAAATGAGGTTTTAAGTAAGTTCAAAGACTTCAAAATGGAAGTAGAAAATCAAACTGGCTTTAAAATTAAGCGCTTGAGAACTGATAATGGCAAGGGTGAGTATGTTAACAAACAATTTGCAGATT